TCGCCTCCCCGTCGGCAGGCCCCCCCGGACCCAGGCCGGCCACAGCCAGCAGCTTTCTTTTGGTGTCAACACTGAATATCTGCCAGGACTCTGCAAAATACACGCAGGATGCCAGTCGAAGCAAAGCACCATTCCTCTTTTGGGAACAGGGCAGTTCCTAGAACACCTGGTTGATCCTTTTCCCAAATGAGAGGTCGCTGGTACACCCCTCCCCACCCAGCACCTCCTATCAGTCTGACTGATGGAAAATTCTTGCCAACTCCCAGCTTTTTCCTCAGCTCCCACAGTGGCAGCAGGTGCTGCAGAGGATGGACCTGAAGGAAGTGGAGAAGTGTGTGCAATGCCATTCAGGTACCTCCCCCTGCTCTGGCGCTGAAGTATCTTCTTCCCTCTCCGTTTTACTCGTATCAGGTAATTAGCAGGGAGAGGCAGGAAAGCTTACCCGTTGGGAGGCGTTTGTAATAGTAAATAACAGGGTGCAAGAAGTTGGACTGCCAGGCATGCTGTGCCTCTCCCACGGCTCGGTTGTAGTAGAAGACATCCTTGTCAGCCCCAGAGAAATTCCTCCCATACTCCATGATGACAACAAACAGCCCGTTGGGAGCCTTTCTCCCTGTCTGTGTTTCCAGCTCGGCCAGGACTCCAACTGGGTACTCTTCCAGGTATTCAAATGCTGTAAAAAAAAGCAACCACAACCATCAGACTTTTCCACCAGGGAAAAGCCAGCTGTGATCCAACACCCCCTTGGATAGTAATTATTTTTGGTCATTACAGATCTGGGCTGAACTTGATGCACAGCTTACAAAGGCTGCAGATACTGTTACAGGACTCCATTATTTTCCCGAATTATGGGATTCCTCCCCACATGAGCACTCCTCCAGAAAAGCTTTTCCCTGGGGACAGTAAGAGGGTACCACACCGCTGAGCCTAGAGAGAAGGTCTGGACCATTTCAGTCCCTTAAGAGAGAGAAGGAATTGACAGAATTGGGCCTAGTGGCATCAGTCATGGCAGTGATACAGGTTTTGGGGTGGCAGCCTACGGGATGGTAATGTCCCTAGGCAGCAACAGAGTGATTTGTGTGGTGGCACCACAGGAAGCAACAGTAAAGGAAAAGGAAGGAAAGGATGGAGTGCAGTGCTGGGAATAATTACTCACTCACTCACTCTCTCAGCAGTATGATGTCAGCCAGGACACTGAACATCTGGTAGAGGCCTGAGGCCTCGTTCACCCGCTTGATGATGGAATTGGTCAGCTGTGTAATAGGGTGGGCTGTGGATGGCCAGGGGACACCATGGTGACGGTTTTCCAATAGGCGATGGACTGCACGAGCTGAGGCATTGAGAGAAACAAAAGACAGCTTATTTAAAAATCCAAGCTTACCCTTTTAAGAAATCCGATCGCTCTGCTGCAGCGCACACAGATACCGGCAGGACACAGTAAATAAGCTTTACAGCTCATCCGTGCTCAGGATCTCCCACCCTGACGGCTGGTGACTGCAGTGGAGATGCCCTCTGAAAGCTGATGCGATGCTAAGTGGTTTGTGAGGGGGCGGGGGGTCCTCAGGGGTGTTTCGTTACTTCTGAGCCGTCCTTTAATGATAAGGATGGGCACACACACACAAAGATGGAAATCCTCTCTACTGCCCAAAGCTGCTGGGTTTTAACTCCACAGCACAGCCCTCTCACCCACAGCCTGTCACAAGGCAAAGCATCTGGCAGGCAGGAGTCTATTGTGTTACATAAATAGGAGACAGTGGGCAGGAGAGACACAAGACAGAACAAAGACAAGACAACCAAAAACTTCAGATATGACCCCGAGTCACTTCTCCTCCACTTCAGCTGCAGCCTGGCTGTGTTCAGTCATTCTTACTGCCAGCACAAGACTAAGGGTGACCTCTTTCCAGCAGTAAGCTATGAATTGTTCCTTCGAAGGGAGGAACAATTCCCACCTTTGCCCTTTCTGCACATGCCAGTACTCACTTGTATACCGGAATCCATGGATAAAGCCCCCAGCAGACATCCTGAAGTCAACAGAGTGGCTAGCAGTGCCGAGAACAAAAAGTCCCCGAGTGCCTCTGGACTCATAACTAGGTTTGATCTGAGGATACTTCTTTTTATTCCCTTTTCCTGGCATCATTCTAAGGGATCTGATGTGCAAAAGAGAAGAGCAGGCTGTCAGGAAGGACAGGATGGAAAAATGAAGTGTTTCTGATATGGCACACATTCTGATACTGCAGCCTCTACAAGACGCTGCTTCATGCCCCCAGTGCCTCCAGTGGGATTTCCTACTTTCCCAAGAGCATCCTCGGGAAAAAAAAAAGCGCCAACCAGGATGTGTTGTGTTTGTGGTGGGTTTTTTGGTAGCTGGGCGGGGCTACAGGGGTGACTCCTCTGA